ATTAAATTGATGTAATTGCTATGTAACAGTGACAAATAAAAAGTTAAATAAATGATTTATTAAATGTAATGAATTACTTTCAAATAAATTAAAATTAATTATATATAAAATTATTTGAAATATAAAATAAAACAATTGTATATAGAACTTTATAAAAGTAAATTATATTTTCTGTATTGTGTATAAGATCATTAAAAAAAGAATTAAATTACTAACACATAAGATTATTCAAAAGTAAATTAAACAAATTGCACACAAAATAATTAAAGTAAGTACTATTTATTTTACATTTACTATGATTGCATAACTGGGTTTTTTGATTTGTAATTACTAGTTAGTATAAAAACTAATTTTACTTTAACACTTATTATTTTTAAGAAACATATTATTTTATCGTAATTCTTATTTGAAAAATAAAATTCTTTTAGTTGATGTGATACTATTACTAGTATTTAAAGCAAAGGTTTTAAAATTTTCTTAGTCAGCATAATTATTTAAAAGGTTTTTAATAATTCTTCTAGCTAATATGATAATATCATTTATTGTGAAGGCTTTAAAATAAAACCTATTGCACATTAGATCATTCAAAGTATAAATTAAAAACTGGATAAAAGTATAAATTAAATTAATTGTGCCAAGGTGTAATTGAGCATAAGATTATTTAAGTTATTTAAAATATAAATTCCTATATTATAATTAACATTTATAGTATCAGTATTTATTAATAATTAATATAAAAATTTGAAAGTTGCACAATACTGTAAAGAGGTAGATTACTTAAAAAAGTATTTCGCTGAATTATCATATGTCCAGTGATCAAAATCTAATGAATTTTATACCAGTTGATTTGTCTTAGCGAGACTAATTACCCATATTCACCTTATATATAATTTTTTGAAAATAAAATTAAAAGCCAGGTTGCCGGGTCACTTAAAAATTTTATGAGAGCCGATATATTAAGTTTGTATGGTCTTATATAAATATATTTAAAAATTTTTATACTTAGAATTTTATTTCTAAATTTTAATAAAATTTTATTATAATAGTTATTATAAAAAAAATAATATATATTTTTTTTAAATATTAACGGTGAAAAATTATATATTTTATTATTTTAAAGAAATAGATTAATATACTATTTTAAATAATTTTATAAAAGTAAATTAACCATTTTAATTATTAAATACAAATAATGTTTTTAATAGAAAATCTTTTTTTTTAACTAAACAAGCTCTTCTTGTTGACTAAACAAGAAAATATTATTAACAGATATAAAACAAAAATTTAATATTATCAAGATAATTATTATAACTATTGGTTGTTAAGTTTGGAATTATACGTAATAAATATACGTATAGTTAATATTAATCCAAAACTGGTTTAATATTATCTGATTTCAAAACATCATCTGATTTTAAAACATCCGATTTTAAAACATCACATCATCCGATTTCAAAATACAAAAATATCATCCGATTTCAAAATACAAATTCAAATATATACCTGACCTTTATAAATGCATTTTTCTTATTTTTCTTAAAGTATACATTATTAAAGTATGATTCAAAGGGCATGCACTTAGAAAGGTTTAACTGAATTATCCGAATTTAACATCAATCGATCCTAACAATTATCAAATATATTAGACATAATTATCAAAATGGGATTTGATTTGAAAAGGATAATGTAAAGTATTTATTTCTTGTGAAAAATATTTAGAAATAAGCATAGCAAGAGGATATGTAATTTAGGAGATTGCTATCAAAATGGAATTGGAATTGAAAATATAATCATGAAGAATTAATTTATTATTAAATATCAACAGTGACAACAATGATGGGAAATGCTTAATGGAATATATGCTAACTTGAAATCTGTTATAAAAAATGGAATTATTGTTAATTAGAGTTGAAAAGAATGAACATGAAAAATTCATTCATTATCAAAAATCAAAAAGGACGAATATAAAGTTTAACTAAATGCAGGGATGGAAATGAAATGCAGGGATAGGAGTGAAGTGCAAAGATAGGAAATGTTAAAGGAATACATTATATTGGATACAATTATCGGAATGGAATTAGTCATTTTTTATGCTACATTATAAATTTATAAATTTCTTTTTATTAAGGTAATTAAAAATAATTAAAGAACGGATACAGATGAATATATTGATTTGTCAGACTGCTCATGATAGTTTCTATTTTATATAATTTAAAAAGAACTATTTATGAGAACAAATATCTATTATCATACAGTAAGTGTAATAAATTTGGAAAGCTGGCGTGTGACCTATTTCAAAGGTGTATAATGAGAAATTTGTAAAAGAGGTGAGTTTAATTATGTTTAAAGGTTTAATGATTATATTTAGTTATTTAAAGCATATCAATATTAAGATGTTATTGAAATGTTGACAATAAAAATCCAACATATTTTTTAGATGTAGTGGAATATCAAAAAAAGATGATTCTTATAATTACATTAGATCTTGGATCCCGATAACCTGGGTATTCGTTCAACACATATTTAGATAGGCTATTCCATATTCGTTTAGCAAGTTGCTTATCCGTATCGGTATCTGTTCCAGTCTAACGCAAAATGATCAGGAAGTCCGCTTGATTCAGCCACGTAAGAATCCGTTATATGTTTTTAAAGTATTATGCTAAGTGGGAGAAGATCATATGATAGTTATCCAATAAAAAAAAAAGCACGAATTTGTTTAAATTATGATCGCATATATTTTAAGATAATTACTAATATGGCTCGGGATAATTCTTTCAATGTTATAGAATATATGTTCATAAGCAGCCTATTCAAAACAAACATTATTTAATTTATAGCTAAAATTCTTTGTCTTTTTCAATAGGTGCAGAGGCAAATATCAAAAAAAAAAAACATGTAAGTAAATTTGAAAAAAATGATGACAAATAATTTATTCTCAGCTCACGAGTTCTTCAATAAGGAATTATTGGGTTACAAATTCCGAAAAAGTGGTTACAATGAATAAAAACGTGATTTATTAAAAAAATTATTATCGTTATTTATCATTACATAGTTTTTTTTTTTTACATTTATTTATTACGTATTAAGTTTTTTTTTTACATTTATTTATTACGCATTAAAGTTTTTTTTTTCATTTATTTATTATGCATTAATTTTTTTTTATTAAATTTTTTTTTTTATATTTATTTATTATTAAATTTTTTTTTTTATATTTATTTATTATTAAATTTTTTTTTTATATTTATTTATTATTAAATTTTTTTTTTTTATAAATATTTATTTATTATTAAATTTATCAATTCTTTGGAAGGTTGACAAGAACTTTCTTTTATTTATTATTATTAAATTTTTTTTTAAAAAAATAAAAAAGTTTTCAATTATATTTACAAATACCAAGGGATGAATCTTTCGAAACTACGATCATTACATTAGTGTAAATAGAAATTTCCACGAGTTTCGTACAATCAAATATTTATGCAAATGTCCAAAAAAGCATAAGATTTTTATCCAAGATAACGCATGCAGCCAGCTTGTCTAAGATTTAATGAACGTGCGCTTACGTGTATCTTTTAATATTAAATATAATTAAAATTTCAGTCAAATATTTGAAATTTCATCAAACGTTTACAAAGTCATCAAACGTTTACAAAGTCGGAGTGAAACGGATGTAGAAGTAACAAATACAAAGGTGCATATTCAGACATTAAATGAGATATACGTTGGATGTAAATCCCGAAGGTCTATGATTAGAAAAAAAGATATAAAGTTTCGGAATTGAATATACTATAAAGGATACAGGAATATCTATGAATAATCACGAAGCATAATCTTAAAACATATTACGTGTTCGATGAATTTTCCAATAAGCAGTAAATTCTAAAATGGTGGAACAAAAAATCTATTAACAGGAGAGATGCATACATATAACGAATCATTATATCGAATCATTGTCTTGTTATCAATTGACGTCTATTATGTTTTAAACTTAGTAATTCATTTAATTTGACGCGGAAAATCGGAAAATTGGTAATCTGTACGTACAAACATCAAATTAGACCAATTGATATTTTAAACCAATTTTAAATGGATAGTGGTTTCTTTATGCGTAGTCAGATTACTTTCCTGTTATTTACCTGCTACAATAAAATACTTATCGTTATTTAAATATGTACATAATTTAAAAAAAAATATGTTAGATATTTAAAGAAAAATCAATCTAACCAAACATTAAATCTCGATAGCATTACAATGGTTTTCTGGCTAAATCAATCATTTTTATTGGTAATATAATATAAAAAAATCGTGTATATCAGATATAGTGGTTGTATACAAAGACAAGACATATCATTATTAATAAACATAAATAACATAAATATAAACACATAAATCGAATGCCACAAGACTTTATAATTGTTTTTCATTTGTTTAACGTTACAAAACTATTTAATGTATATATAGCATTTATACTATACTATTATATACCTAATACATGGTATATATGGTACATATACATGGTATACAGTATATACACAAATAAATAGATTTTATATATACGTAATACACAATATAAACAACTATACTAACAACTGTACTACTCAACAAAATAGAAATTTTTATGAGAATTTTGTACGTTGAAAATTTTAATATAAACTTTCTTCCGAATGTGTAAATATCTTTTATATAAATAGGCTCGCGTCGTTACGTTTCAACAATTTTTTGTTCTTATTATTTCATTATTACAGTTTAGCGGGATAAATAAAATAGAATATTATATGGCATCATCTATTGGAATATAAAGTATTTAAACACTTTACCTTCTATAGATCCTCGCATTTTTCGTTTTACTTGAACTTTCTCTTTTTTCTTTTTTTTTTTTTTTTTCTTTCCTTTTTTTAGACATCTTTAAAAATATATTTATTTATATTTATATAAATCTCTTATTTATTAATAATCTATTTATATTTATATAAATCTCTTATTTATTAATAATCTTATTCAATATGAATACACTTAAAGTTGAGTGGCCTTTGAAAACTAAAGACGGTGATGTAATAACAATAGAACAAATACCGATTGAACTAAGGAACAAAATATCAAAGTTAAACCGACAGGATTTGTTCCCACCAAAATTTGGCGTTGAGGAGATTGAGAAGCCGGAATTCAATTCCGACGGAAGCTTCAAGGAGAAGAGGTGGATGAATTGCTTTTTATGTTTTAGAAGAGTTTTGGGGCTATGTTATAAAGATTCTAAAACTGTATTCAATGGAACCGAGCTTTCCCAGCTTGCACAGTTGATCTGGCACGGAGCTTCCATTGAAGAAAGAAAAGTATATTCAGACATCTCTCAAGAACTAAAGAAAAAAACCTATATGCAAAATCCAAATTTTGTGTTCCGAAAAACCCCGAGGCCTACTGAAGATTATATTAATTATGGACCTGAAACCTTTGAAAAAAAAGGTAAAAGAAAACATGATGATGATGAATATGGCCAAAGAAACAAGAAACGCATAAACAAAAAAGACATTGGATCCTCAGATGTTGTAGTCCTCGGTACATCTGGAAATGAGGAATCTATCTTCACTTCCAGTACAGATTTTGTTCCTTCAAATACAGATCCAATTACAGCTAATATGGATACCATTAACTCCAGTACGAATTCCGTTTCAGATCTAGATTCTGTTGTTTCAAATTTAGATTCCGTTATCATGGATTCGAACCTGGATTGGTTTCCGTATAATGGTCAAGACTTCACTGATAACTTTACTAGTGGTGGGTCATATATACAAAACAACGTATCGGATACTGATTCCACTGCTGATAAAGTGTTGTGGGTACAAAGTTATGCACCTACCGTTGATCCTGGAATAAATATGCCACTTGGATTTTCCGAAAGCATGATTTTTTCAAATGAAATAATGTGGGATGAAAATTTTGAACAAACTTACGATATTTCAGAAAATTTTAATGACGGACACTTATTATTTTTCTAATTGTTGTACGGTATTAGAGAATATTAGATTTTCAATTATTGTACATAATTTTCATCGTTAGCATCGTTAGCATCGTTAGCATTTCTTTTTTTTTTTTTTACGCATAATTTTCGGCACTTTTTTTAATTCGCATTTAATTCCACATTTAATCCGCATTTAATCGCATTTAATCCGCATTTAATCCGCATTTAATCCGCGCTTTGACTATTTTTTTTAGTCATTAATCGATTTTATCTCGTTTATTGTTTCGATAGTGATAGTAATCCTCGATTAAGCACAAGACATAGCAACAAAATTCGATTCGTTAAAAATTCGATTCTTAAAAATTTAATACGCGAACATTGTAAATGTATATGGTCATGGCATTATAATAAAAAAAGAACATTTTTCAGTTAAAATTTATCTTATAAAATAACAAATAACAAGTGTAAAAAAGTGCGAAAAAAACGAAAGAGAAATTTTGATCAAGTATTTATTATTGCTTTCGATTTTGAAGTTTTTTTATTCATTTAATATTAATGCTAAAGTGCCAGAGATCATCTCTGCGATAAAAAAAAAACACGTTTGGCATATTACACAAAAGGCGTTACGGAGTTTGAAATTCCGTATTACGCATCCGCTTGTCTATCAATCTGCTAATTTTCTTCTATATTAAGTAATAATCCCTTAAAGATCTCAGTTATTTAATTCGGCAGTTTTAAATCGAGTTATATGTACATATAAGATTTTTATATGCGCATATCGATATATCATGTCAGATATAAAAAAGTTATATCATCATTTATCTTTATCATTATTTAGTGTTATCACTGACCAATGACAATGGCACGTGCCGATATAGTTAAAATAGTTATAATGTATTATTACATATGCAAGATAGGGTTTACAACTCACGTGAAATAATTTAGTGAAACGTAATGTTCGTCAAATGACGTTAGTATAACAAAGAAGTATAACAAAGAACTATTAGCATTAAAAAAAATATTACAAGATTAAAGTTTTTCTTTTACTCTTTATTTTACTTTATATATCAATTCTTTGTTGTCTTATGACTTAAGAAGTTATGTTGATACTAAGTCACAGGTTCATTGTTTACAGGAAACTTTAGTTCTATTTAAACTTTGTATATTAAGATATTATACACGCGCTATTCTTGTGATTATTCTTATTACTGCGTATATATATACTTCATATTTTAAAGCCACATTAAAGACGTATGTACATATACATATGAAGTAAGTCTGGGGGGCAAATTAAACCTTGACAAATTGAGACATAAGTTCAAAATTTCCCGGTATTTGTTTATAATTAAATAGATGATTGCTTAAAAAAAAAAAAAAAAAAAACTTATCTCTGTGCTTCATTTTCAAAAGGTGTACATTGGATATTTGTTATTCAATAAATATGCACAAATAACACGTGGTTTCAAAAGTATGCAATTCTGCAAACATAGAAGTCATGTTTACATTTGCATATTCCGTATTGTTTGAGTTCAAAGAATCTTTAATGCATATTATATAAATGTTATATAAATGTTATATAAATGTTATACATATTTGAATTTTTTTTTTTTTTTTTTTTTTTTTTTTTAAAAATATTATGAAAAAAAAAAAATAAACAAATATGTTGTAGATGAAAATTAAGAATAGGCATATTCTCGCGTTTCTAATGACCTTATTGATCATATGTACAAGGCATGTCGCTATTCGCCGTAATTATATCTAAATATTTGGTTGAATGCTTAAACATAAAGTCACCAGGTATAGATTAAAATTCATTTTCGGGAATTATGAGTATAAATTAATTTGATTGCAAGATCACGCGCTTTTCATGAGATTTTATCTTATGTAGTTGCGCGTCTTTTTTCCTTAAAAAGTTGTAAACTTTACTAATTAATTATAACAATGTCAAACTAAAATAAATGGTTGGATTTAATGTAGAAAGTAAACAACTATCATTATCTTTTTTTTTTAGCAATGTAAAATTATTACTGTAATGCCAGGTAACAATTGATAATCCCGATGATCCTCATTGTCTTAATTAATCTTATTTTAATGCAGTAATGCAGAGATTTTAGAGATAATGTAAGTAAATAGTCAATCGGGTGGTAATATTTTAGCACGTGTATATTTGTTATCAGTAATATATGAATGAATAGAGATCCTTTTAAAATATTCGGGTCACACCCTCTACAGTATAACCTCGATATAACGAAGCTCTGGGCTGGAGGTTTGCTTCGTTATATCAAAACTTATTAGTAATTTCGTTATATCAAAACTTATTAGTAGTTTCGTTATACCAAAACTTATTAGTGGTTTCGTTATATCAAAACTTATTAGTAATTTCGTTATATTAAAACTTATTAGTAATTTCGTTATACGTATTAAAACTTATTAGTAGTTTCGTTATATCAAAACTTATTAGTAATTTCGTTATACGTATTAAAACTTATTAGTAGTTTCGTTATATCAAAACTTATTAGTAGTTTCGTTATATCAAAACTTATTAGTAGTTTCGTTATATCAAAACTTATTAATAGTTTCGTTATATCAGGGCTAATTTAAACATAACAATTAGAAATAATCTTCGTTATCGTTATATCGAACTATTATACATTTATATACCGTATACTGTATTATTAAAATTTAAATCACTTTGCAAATTTGGTGTTAAACACTACTGGTATGTTTTACGTAGAACCTTTTTTTTTTATTTTTTTTTATTTTATTATATATTATTTTTCATACTATACGAAAAAACCTAATCAATTCAAGAACCCGATAAAAGCTTACATACATATTTACCCTTATACTACATAAATTGTCCAAAAAATTATCAAACTATCAGATTTATAATTATTAAAAGGAATCCCTCATTACATAAAATGTATAAAATGTCCAAAAAAGATTATCAAAAAATCAGCTTTATAATTATTAAAAGAATTATAAAGTTATTCTTCAAGCACCTTAAGTAATTAGTATGTAACCTAAACTTGTGATTTTAGGTACACTTAGCGTATATTTGTCAACGCTTTGATGGGTGACAATCCTATACCTAATTATCGCTATCCTAATTATCGCTATCCTAATTATCGCTATCCTAATTATCGATATCCTAATTATCGATATCCTAATTATCGATATCCTAATTATCGATATCCTAATTATCGATATCCTAAGTATAGATATCCGTTATCCTAATTATCGATATCCTAATTATCGATATCCATTATCGATATCCTAATTATCGATATCCTAATTATCGCTATCCTAATTATCCTAATTATCGATATCCTAATTATCGATATCCTAACAAACGTTATCCTAACAAACGTTATCCTAATTATCGTAATCCTAATTATCGTCCAATAAAAATATATATATATAAATATATAAATAATAAATTTAAAATGCTCTTGCTAGCCGCTTTGCGATTCAAAATCAAATGGAAAAAAACCAAAAGTATCGATATAATGTAACATCATATCATTATTCGGTTCAGAGTATGGATCATAAAAATAATATGGAGGTGTAACACCTTCCGTATCTCTTACAACTTCGTTACAAACTAAAGAACCGTCTTCAATAAAGCATTGTTGACCTTCAAATAAGTAGTCCTGGTTTATTAAACTATTTTCCTGCTGAGGGATAAACGAGACAATCGAAGGTCTTTGTTCTTCAATAGGTTGTTTTCCACCTTCTTTTACATCTTTTGCATCTTTTGCATCTTTTACATATCCTCTTACACTTTCTTCTACATCTTCTTTTACACTTTCGTTTACACTTTCTTCTACCTTCACATCTTCTTTTACATATTCTTTTACATATTCTTTAAAACCTTCTTCAGGGTCAATAGGAACCGGTCCTATGTTTGAAGATATTCCCGTTAAATTTATGAAAGGATCATGTGGTTTCTTAATGTTGGGAGCATATGAATAAGAAGGGAATTTTTTTTTATGAAGTTTCTTTACATGATGAGCAATTTTTTCAAACGGTTCTTTTTCAATACTTGTAGCATTATTCCAAAATTTAGAAGCAGTACTAGTAATTTCTCTCATACGATGTTTACGAGGAATATTTTTTGATGTTGTAATTAATTTATTGAAATTTTTTTTGAAAACCATAAATTTATTTAAAGGTCGTTTAATTTTTTTATTGTCTGCCTTTGAAAAAGATGATGAAATTAAATCATCAATTATTTCATTTGCTGTTACGATCGGATTATATATTTCATTTCTAGAAATACCAAAAAGTGCATTTTCTATGGTTTCAATATTAGAAGATTGAATTTCAGTTGGTTGCATTTCAGTTGGTTGAATTTCAGTTGGTTGAATTTCAGTTGGTTGGTTTATTTTTTGAACATGTATTTGATTAGAAATATCAAAAGGAATATTATTAAACATTGAGATGGAAGTTTGTTGATTATCTTTTGTTTGTATGGAAATATTATTGAGTGTATTATTAATGAATTCAAAGGGAACACCGTTCATGTTCATATTTTGAAATCGTCTTTTTTTTCCTGTATTCGAATTTTGAACGTGGTTCTTTTATACGTATTACACACTGTATACTGTATAAATAAATAGGATATCAGTATTTATATAAGATTTATATATTATTGTTTAGTGTGATATTCATAATAAATATATATACACATATATACTTGTATACATTGTAAGTATCACTATATTATATTTTTTATTCTATATACATAATTATACGACCTCTAAGATAATCGGACAAAAAATTAAAGTATATTATATATTTTAAAATATTTTAAAATGTTTATCAAAATGTGTTATTTAAGCTGTATCGATATGCATACTAAAGATAGTTTAAGCTAGAAATGGATAAATATGAAAAAGATTATGTAAGTAGCATTTATGCTGCGCCAGCGCATAAAAGAGTCTAGAATCATAACATAGGCAATAATATAGGCATAGCGTAGGTATAAAGAGACAATCATTGTTTATCGTTATGAGGAACATACATATTACGTATTTGATTGAAACAATCGAGGAAAAAAAAAGGCAAGATTTTTTTTTTTTTTATTAAACAATTAATATTAACGTTAACATGAAAATTAGTAAAATAAGCAGGGGTAGATAATCAGGTAAATAAGCAGGTAAGTAAACAGGTAAATTAACAGGTTTATTACAAGATTATGCAAAGATTAAACACTAAGGAATATTTGATAACTAAAAATTAGACCCTTGCGTTGCAAGTTAATTTAGCGAATTATTGTTATCTTTATCAATGAAATATTATATAAGGTATTACTCAGCGTGAATGTATTCCGGAGACAGTGCGTTTTTTTTCTTCTGTTCTTCAGAAATGGAAACCAATAAACATAATTAATAAATTATTGCCGATGGCTAAGAAAAAAAAAAACAAGACACAGTATTAGTAATGCTCATCTCACATGTCGATGATCAAAAACATTACTCATCACCTGTCACAACATTTATACATCAATACAATGATGTTTCTTGAATTACAGCGCAGAAACTAATATGTACGTAGATCAAGAAATAATAAATGTTGACTTTTATTGAGTAATAATTAACCTTTTGCTCCTTGGTTTTTATAATTTAATTGAGTTATAATAGTCTTTGTAAATCGGTAGTATATTTTTTCTATATTTTTTTCTATACTTTTTTCTACATTTGTTTATATCTTTTTTTTCTATTTTTTCTACGTAGAAAGCATCGGAAACTATCGACATTACTATTTCTCCTATTAGGCAAAGTATGTAAATCTCAAGAATTCTTTTGCAAATCTATTGAAATTTTTGTCCTCATTAAATAATTATTTAAATAATGATTATAGTATATAATATGTATATAATGAACTTTATTATTGGGTAATGATATATCGTACGATAATATGAATAATACGTACATGCCGGAGGTTAATATGTACGTACGTATACGTATAATATTTTTTGGATGACCAATAAAATCTCTGAAGCCTTTGATCCTTTCCTTTAATAATAATAATTTCAAAGTTGGTTTTGCGCCACTGTAAAAAAAAAAAAAGACAAGATCTATTTTATTGGTGTTTAAAAGTTGTTAATACTTAACAAATTCAATTGGAGAAACAAACAAATGCTAAATGTAACACTTATGATGAAATGTGTGTGATATACATACATACTTACGTACAGTACGTATAATCATAACATATCATTATATGTTATATTATGTATAGAATTATGAATTAATTCAATTAATCCATCTTAGGTCGTGAGAGGTTATACGTATAATTCTTGAATATAGAAACATTTGTTGGACAAAAACATTTGCATACACACGCGCATGATATTTTACCAAAAATCAATTCATCACAAATTGTCCAAAGTAAAAAATTTATTTCTCCTTTGTATCATTATGCGTAAAAAAAAAAATCAAACAAATCGTCATCATGAAGATTAAAGACTAATAAAGTGATATAATAACCATTAATAACCATTTGATACCCATTTCAAGACTTGAAATTGTCAGGTTCCAGGAAAAGAACCTTCATCAAAAAGTCGTCTTGGGTAACCCAAGTTAATGTTGACACCGTAGGTTGTACGTATAAAGAAATTTAATCCTATTATAGGTTGAGAAACCTTAACCAAAATATAATTATTATATACATTCAGGATATGTCCAGCAAGTGTCAAAAAAAAAACAAAAAAAAAACACATACATTACATAGCATATCGACGATTTACAAAATAACGATAATGCTCCGAGCGTGACGTAACTCCAAAAGCATTATTGTTACTGAATATTACTGAATTAGTTTAGTGTTTGTGTTTGATTAAAAGGTGGTATAAGACCTCGTGCATGTTACAATACATGAAAGATACATGAACAGATACATGAACAGATACATGACCAATACATACACAGAAGCAATTTGGCATTAACTTTTGATATCAAAAGTAAATGCCGAATTATTTTGAGCCAAAATCACATTGGTTTTTTTACGTCATGCATATTGCGTGATTTCAAATAAGGGAAAGATCTTAACTTCATACCGATACAGTAATAAAAGTAAAGTAATTAATTTTATATATACCATTCATATTTGAGTCTCATCTTTATATTTGCTTACAAGAGGCGTCATAATATTGGTTCTCATGACTTAAAGTTACTGCTGAAGATACATAAATCTACATAAAATATGTATATACGTATTACACATTGATCTTTCATTCATCATTGATCTTTCATTCATTCGTAACCATTAACGTTAACATTAAAATTTGGGATTTACTCAAACACATGATGATAAAACCATTCCAAGGTATATAGAAATTATACTATTATCTATGATAATAAATCATGCAAGAAAAAAGAATTTTATTGTTAAAGCATAAAAGGTAATTTGAATAAATAAAATTTTTTTTTTTTTACGCCATACCTGATCCTGAATTGATTCGATTTCATTGGTTGTTTATGGCTAGCATCACGTGCACTTGGACTAATACTTACCGTAGATTAGAAGATGCTGCCCTGCCATTCCTTTACGTGTATAATGGTTAACATTACATCATTACATTTGAAAAGAAACTATATTTCATATGCATCAATTTCTGATTTGTTTTGTTTTTATTATAAAACACTTGTGACTTTCAATTGAGACGTTCATTAAAATTTACGAATAATGATCAATGTCTTTTTTTTTTTTTTTTGAACGTCTCCTTCTTTTTAACATTACCAATAGTTTGTACAGTTGAATGAAAAAATTTTAAATGTTATGTTGTAAAGAATAAAATAATTTTATAAAATAATTTTATAAAATAATTTCGTAAAATCATACTAATAAGAATAATTGTTCATATATTCGGTGGAAAATACCATGAAACATTATTAACATAATCATCGACATCAGTAACATTTGTGACATTTGTAACATTTGTAACGTTTGTAACGTTTGTAACATTAGTAGGGATATAGTATTGTATTTCCTCATCATTAGTTATTCCATTAGGTATCCCAGTTATTCCATTAGGTATCTCAGTTATTCCATTAGGTATCCCAGTTATTCCAGTAGCTATTCCAGTAGCTATCTCATTTGCTACCACATTGGCATCTATAAATTGATTTTGACCATAGCCCATTGTTGATTGCATTGATTGCATTGATGATATATAATAAAATGGAGTAGGTTGTGATGTGACAAGTTCATCTAATCGAGAAAAATCATCCTGAAATTCTTGTGATTGAGATTTTTTCCTTCGTTGATTAGAAGGAGAATATTGTTTCCATATAGCTCTATCTCTTCTTGGTTTATATTTATATTCAGGATTTTGACATTTATGTAAGATTGCAACTTTTTCTGCTAATTCTTTATACTGACTTTTTTCATCAGATGTAATTAAATCTTTCCATATAATACCAATATATTTTGAAAATATTCGTTCATTATAATTCATTAATTTAATTGTATTGGCTTTTTGATCATGAGCTACTTTACGAAAAATTATAAATTTATTACATGGTCTTTTGGTTCTACCATCAGCTGCTTTTGATGAATTTCCATTAAAAAATTGTTCTGCTGTACATGGTGGTGGGAAAAGATTTAATAAATTCTTTACGCGTTTAGCTTCTGTAAGGTCTTTATTCATATCAAGTTTTTTATCAAGTTTTTTATCAAGTTTTTTATCAAGTTTTTTATCAAGTTTTTTATCAAGTTTTTTATCAAGTTTATCAGGTTTATCAGATATATCAAGTGTTTCATTTTCACATTCACTTCCAGGTGGAGTAAGAATAGGTTCATCAATTGTAGGTGTAGTAATAGTTTTTGTTGTTAAATTTTTAAAATTATTGGAAATGTTTCTTGATGATTCATTATCATAATCACTAATTACAGGTGAGGTCACACATGAAAACGTAGAATTATTCAAGTTGTTATTATTTAAAGGTTGTTGAGGACAAAGCGAAGTAGAAATGTTCTCAACATATCTTTCTGATGAAAGTTCTACAAATGGACGCACAGACATTTTGTTGGTATAATGGACTTTGTTTGAAAAAAAAACTTTTTCAAAAAAAAAGTAAAAAATTATTGAAAATAAGTTTGCCTTATATACTTTAGTCAGATTAAAATTGTATAATGATGTACATATATACAAATATGCGTTATATGCCTAAATAAAACAAAAAGATAGGGAAATTTTAACAATGTTAAAAGTCAGATGAGGATTATCTTGGGAATTTGAAGCAAAACTATTAGAAAATTCCAGCAGAATAAGTCGACGGAATGGATCGCATCTTCATCTGAATTGTATGTAATATTTCTCCGTACCGGACTAGAATTTGCGTCACATACATAAATACTAGTACTATTTTATCTCGAAATTTCTTTACATGTCATAATTTAGATTTTATTGTTTGAACCCTACCCTAAAATGTTTCACCAATGAACATTTAAACTAGGAATTATTATGTACATCTCTTGGACTATTTTTAAATTATAAACCGCCGAATTCCCTAATATTTTTTCGTTTTCAAATAACGCGAAAACCATTTAGGTTCAGTGTACTACATTAACATGAATTACTAATATTGATAAGCTCTTGACGAAATTTGTAACATTTCTATTAGTTATTTTATTTGTTCATTATCTTCGCTATCTTGTTGACCTTTTATGTTCGTTCGTAATCACAATTTTAAATCCAGTTTTAAAATATATTATTTAAGAATACACGTCAAAAGAGGTGTTCTTTACGCATTTGGTCGATCAATGACAATTTCACAAAGTTACATAGTTTTATCATTTTTAATAGTTACATAATTATAATATTACATATAAAATTACAAAATTATAATTATGAGTTTTTTTTTTGTTCCTTTTTTTTTTTGATTGAATGATTGAGTAATAACGCAATAATGCAATAGATTAGATGTCTAAGCATCATACAACAATTCCGCATCAATAACGTCCAAAAAAGAAATGCCAATGTTGAAATCTTTTCCTATCTTTGAGTATGTAAACATGAGTTTCCGTTTAATGTCAAATAAAGGATAAATATTTATGGTATATGTATGCTTGGCGTTAGTAAAGAAAAAAAAATAGGGTCTTTTTTTTTCAATGCGAAGTAAAGGGTCCTCTTTCAAGTCACTACGTATTCAAATCTAAATACGAATTTAAATGTAGCTTCAATGTAGTATAAATGTAATTTATTAGTAATTTAACTTACAGTATATATGTATATTTTATTTAATATAATGACTTATTATTTTTATATTTTTTTTTTAAAAAAAAAAGATAATATAAATACTTAAATAAAAAAAAGATAATATATATATATATATATATTCCAATTATGTATAATTGGACCGGAATTCGCGTATACATGATTATTACTATCACGTAAATCTTTAAATTATTTATATTTCTATATTAGGTTAGACATGTTTTTTATACCTTGGATATCACTTAAATGATTAAAAAAACATCACTTACATGATTTAGAATCTCAATTCATAACAGTTCATGATAAAATTAAAATAATCACAACTTTAAAGCATCACTATTCTATTTGTTTACACGACAATAAAGGTCAATCTTTTTTTTTTGCACATCATTAATGTACAAAGTAATATAATATTATATTGTTATTGAGTTCGATTGTAGAATTTGAAATATTTTCAAGCTAATAAAAATTACTTTTTAGAGTATAGTACAAAGAGAAAATTGAAAGTATTTTAAGAGAACATTATATAATTGGTTCTTGGATGTATGATATTTTGTTTTGAGATTACCTTATAACTCGATCTAATTCCTTTTTTGAATGAAAGCAGTAGGGCTGAACTATCAATTTCGTCATTCCAAAATTTAATGCACATCTGTGATAGAAATCGTAAGCACTATTACCAAATACACATAGAAAATCTATGTAATATCTAATAACATTGAAATATTTTTGAACCTAATCAGTTGAAAGTTCAGAATGAAATTTTAAAATAATCACTATAAAGTCGGAGATATAACGTTACAATAACCCCGGTTGTTGTATCCTTTTTTTTTCTTAACAAGAAGTAAATCATCTATCGTTCAACTAAATTCATGTTAATAATGTAATTTATATTATAATGTCACACAACACATATATATATTTAAAAAGTACCATCAAATGTATCAAATATATTAATGCTACTTGATATATTTTTTACTTTGTTTTAAATAACTGTTTAATTTTATGGTTTGTACGATATACAATATATATTACTTTGTCTTAATCAGGTGATAAACATAATATGACCTAAATTACTTTATCTAAAAAAAAAAGTCATGCCTGACCCCCAAAGTTCGTGAATGCTATTAACTTTGTATAATGCTTGACCTTCATCCTTTAGTACACGTCACTCTGGTTAAAACGACATTATAAAGAATCTTTCTATACCGACATTTTTTTTTCAAAATTTTAATATAAAATGTTGGTATAACTCACTGTATCGACATTTTGAAAATTTTCACCAATGTCTCAAAAATGTCGATATAACCAAAGTTACGTGTAATTATAATCCATACCGAAATAACGCACTGGGGTGTAGGTTAAAATTGTGGCTCGAATTAATCGTAATTCGGCCTAATTTAAGATTAATTTAAGCTTAATTCAGGCCAAAGTTTTAATCTACACCCCTCGGACGTTATTCCGATACGGTAAGTTTTTGTTATATAAATGTATATATATTTCTTATAAAGGTATTGATAAGGCGGTATTGATAAAGCAGTAAGAAATATATAAAGTTCGTTCTTTCCGTATTCCTTACATAAATTCTAACAAGGATTGATTAAAATCTGAAATAGTAAAATCGATTTCAAATAATTCGTAATTCGTCTCTTTTCGATATTTTTCGATATTTTTCGATACAATTAAACAGATTAATAAGCAAACTTGTAAATTTTATATGGTTACGTAAGATTCATTACCTAACAATAAATACTGCAAAATTTGTCCGTAATTTTATAATAAAATTGTCCCTGCAGCTTGAGTAAACTTTAGTTTACAAACTTTACGTTACTTGAACAACCTGGATAACTTTCTTGGCGTAATATCACAAACATTATTTACTATAACGAAAATAAACCGAAAATAACTTGTATTACTTCTAACTCAAACTTCATATCTCCCGTTGTGCAATACTACTAATCTATATCTAATCTTTTATCTTTCTAATCATACTAATATGTATTATAATAATTGTCGCGCAAAAAAAAAAAAAAAAAAATCGTGACAATCACGACTGACCCTCGCATAACAGTCTTGGGTACTAACAGTATTGTATATGTCTGTGTTTCATAATTTTCTATTGTAGATTCAAGCGTCCTTCCAAAAAGAAAAAAAGGCTGATTATGCAATTTATTAATTTATATATATGATGTAAGATTTTAAAATAATTGTAGTAATTGTAGTAACTGTTGTGACTGTGGTAAAATTGTGGTAATTAATTGTGGTAATTGTAGTAAATGTATGGTGACTAAATGTCTATTTATCTATTGTTAGTTTTTGTCATTTTTTTCTTATTCGAATCAGAATGATAATCAATACATTAAATACATGTCTAATATTGATATGTACATAAAATCAAATCATGTAACAAATCTATATTATTAAATTAAAAATTTATACATTATTATAATTCTTTAATCTATTTGTAATCGTTTTTATATTCATAATGAATTCCTGGAGATTTTACTCCGAAGGTTTTTAAGAGTACAGTTTATATTCAGTGATTGAGATTAAATATGCAAGGGATTAAAGGGATTGTTTATCACGTGAATTGCCAAAAATCGTTTATTCTTTGAATGCATGTCACATTATCCTTACCAGAAAAGGAAATTCAAATAGTCAAATAGAGAGACCAATAAGAAATCTTTCGGAGACCAAATCCGATATGAACGTACAATGATAAGATAGTGCATCAAAACAAGTTCCTTAATCTCTAGAATTTTTCCAGAATTGTTATTAATGTTACCATGTGTATAGTACAGTCTAATCTCCTTATTCCAAAATCGAAACACTCATTATAACTCCGTAAAAAAATTTAGTATTCTAGAGTATGCTAAGAAGAATTGTGTTGTGAAACTATTAAGTCATTAGATGACGGAAAAAAAGTCATTTAATACGTAACCATGTTTAGTTTTATAAAGAATAATGTTACATGAAACTAATAATTTTAATATTTTCCGTGTCATGCTACGTACGTATGTTGTTATCAGTTATGATAATTATATTGTGTGATATTATTAGTTAACGAATATTGTTTTCCAAATATGTTTACCAACTTAGTCTAGAACATTTGGATTGAACATTCTGAACATTCTTCATGGAAAATGTATAATTTAATAAATGAAACATAATGATAGTATGACAATAATGGTTTTAACTGATCTCATCAATAATAATTTACATCAATAATAATTTAAACTTTTTAAGACGTTTATTAACACTTTAATAATATAACAATATATTTACTTTAATATAACTTTTTAATATAACTTTTGATACGTATAATACTTTAATACATATACCACTTTAATACATAACTAATTTTCACCCTAGGTGATTTATTACAAGTAAGGTTAGGAGGTTAAATATATGTAAAATTTGTAGCTGAAAACTTTTGCTTAGAAGTCAAAGCATGTTTTTTTGTTACACGAGATCGTGATATTACCTAGTAATAGTCTTATATAAAAAAGTGAAGGAAGGAAGGTAACTTTCCAAATTTTTTTCCGTAATATAACGTGTAAAACAAGACTATTGTTATGGATATTCATTTGAAAAACGTTATTTATTATGGAATAATCCAATGTTCGATTAAAGAAATTCTATGTGCGTAACATGTAATATTGTCGATCATAATTATTAAATTTCCCTATCTCTATAAAAAAGAAATTTATTAACTTTTAGTAAATAATTTCCATAAATGCCTAATTCCGGTCAAAAAAACGTACTATTTTTTTTTTTTTTGTATTACAGAAGCAAAGAAAATTATTTGGAAACGCCAAAGGTTGTACAGAACCATCAACACCAGGTTAAATCCATTTTTTTTGTACCTATTTTTTCGGAGTTCACCTTCAGACTTTGTTTTAATTTTTGTTGTTCCTCTGTCAAATTTCCTTTCCGCATGACAATACAAAAAAAGAAATCTTACAGAGAAAATATTCAATAATGATGGAACATGTTAAGAAAAAAAAAATATAAATACTCCTCATATCCGACCTGTCTGAAAATCTTTGTAGTTTACAATTACCCAAAGAGTGCTATTATAAAGTAAAGGTTAAAGGCATATTCCTTTAATCACTCCCCATACACTATATTATTATTATTATTAGACATCCTCCACATATAGAACTGGCAACCCTTCGGATTGTTTGCCAAATACAAGATTTAATAATCTTTAATATAAACCATCATAACAAATTTTTTTTCCCTAACATTAATATTAAATTTTTCTTAATATTAATACTTCCCCCAAAGAAAAAATGGGTCCCACTCGTCATGTTGATACTAACATCGAACAAAAGGTTGACGAATTTGTCAAACAAGTTGACTTGGTGCAATTGTATTCGTTAACTGAAGGTATTGAACCTGTGTTGGCAAAAACTTCTGGAAAAAACAGTCCTGTTAGTAGACCGTCAAATTGCTTCTTCCAATTTAAAAAAGTTGTCTCTAAATATGCTGCTGAAAAGCTTATTCCGGGTCACAATGATCAAAATATACTTTCAAAAGCTCAATCGAGACTTTGGGCTTCGCTCTCCAATGATCAAAAACGCCCTTTTAAGAAACTTGCTGAGGAAGCCGTAAGAGCTCATAAGGAAATGTACCCTGATTATGAGTTCCATCCTCATAGAGACAAATCTGTCCTAAAAATTAAAATTAGTGGTTCAAATGGTGGACAATCTAGGAAGAAGAAGAATCCGTCGGAAAAACCAGATCAAAAAAATCAGAATCTTGTATTTAATCAAGATTCTACCTCAAATTTAAATCTCGAATCGAATAGGGGGGATTTCGATATCGTGACTAATCTTGCGGAGGATGTCAGTAGGCAAAATGCCTACAATAATAATAGCACAATTGCGCTTCCTATCATCGATGAATCTAACTCATGTATGGGGAGTCAGAGTCAAGATCAGATGATAGAATTTCAGGACCAACCATTTTTGTATATTGTTCATAGTCCTGATGGTTTAAGCGCACCTCAATATATTACTTCTCCAATCAGTCCTGCAATCTCTGATTGTTCTAGTAATATATTTAATATAATATCGAGTTCGGAATTTTCATCTCCTTATCCATCACCAAATTCCCAAATTGGAGAAACTTTTGATTTTCAATCCGTTCCTTCCATGACTACCGTGCCTACAATAGAACATGATTTACAAATGGTACCTAGCATGGATCAAGCGACAACTCCATTAACTTGGCAAGTACCTGTCGCTGATAATAATAATATGCTGGATAGCAATAATGGTTTGATGATAAATGTGAATAATATAATTCATAGTACATCTAATCCTAGTTCACCAGCATTATCTTTTTGCGAAAGCAATTTTAGCATACAAGCATCACCAAATCTAGAGAACATGGAAAATTCTTTTATGAACAATTATACAAATGATTTCCCATTTTGTTCAGAACTTATCTCAGACCCTAATATCATGGACCCTAATATCATGGATTATTTTGACCAAATAATTTGAGTCCTTTTTAAAACAATTTTTTCTTTATCATAAACATTTGGCATTAGAAAACAAAAGCATCAATTTAAAGTACATACATGTTAGTCGCTCAAAATTTGAATAAAAAATAAAGAAAGATCTTTAACAAGTCTAATAATTACTATCTATAGAGTATGTTACTATCTATAGAAGACAATCTATAGAGGACAATTTTTTTTTCTTTTTTTTTCTTTTTTCTTTTCTTTTTTTTTTTTTATCTTCTCTTCTTTTGTTCAGCATAATTGATTGTCTTTCGATTAGCTTTTTTTTCCAACCGATTTCCCCCAATAGCCTAACTCTATGCAATTTTTAAATCTGTTCTATGTAATTAATTATGTTATGATTTTTAAGTTAAAGGAGCTATGCAAAAAAGACATACAATAATATATATAAAGATCAATTATGTAAATATGTAAATATACGTATAAGCTATATAATAAAGATTTAGATTTTGATACTTCAATGTTTAAACTTTTTTGTGTTTAAAATGCTTATTGCATTACTTAAATTGGTGCATATTTATATATATATATATATATATATATATTTTTTTTTTTTTTTTTTTTTTTTTTTTTTACAAAAGTGTCCAGTAAGTATCACGTATACATGCTATTAAAATAATTATAGCTTTACTTTTTTTTGTAAAAAAAACCCCCCGTTTAGGTGATTTTGTGATGCATTCATATTCACATTCTTATCCAAATACTTCTTGAATTAGTCTGTGGAAAAATAATTAAATAAGACTTAATTTATGAAAAATTCTTTTAAAACCGAGAAATTTTAAAACTCACTATGTTCTGATAGAGAGAATTGAAAAAAATTAATAACTTTTGAATAAACATTTCTTTTATTTTTTGATTAAAAGTTAGAGGAATAAAGATTATAGTGTTAGAAGGAGAATTAAAAAGAAAGGTATTTGTTTATCGATCTATGTTTTTTTGGTTTTTTTTTTTCATCCAGTAAAGTATGGAACAAAAAAAAACCGTTTTTGGTGCCATTTTATTAAAAAATTTTCGATAAACTAAAATAGGGAAACACCTTATTTAACGTTAAGGTAGCACAATACATATTTCATATTAGCAATGATATATATATTTATTCTCCTGTTTTTGGAACATCCGAAAGGAAACTTCCGTGCATGCTAATGACGAGAAAGTTTGTAATGCTATCGAACGTGCGCAACGTTTCCTAACATCACTCACTCCTGAATACGTATTACCCGAAAAAGCAAAAATTTAATGCCTTTTTTTTTTTTCTTAAAAGACAAAATTGTATTTCATTCGCTTAACTTATCGCCGATAGTAAAAATTACTAATTACGACTTATCGTTATTGTACGTATAATTAAATTACGGTGCAATTTGAACACAACTCGCGGTAATACGGAATTTTGATAAATTAATTTTCCCTATTAATTATAATTTGTTCTCTTTGTAATAATTAAAATGTAAACCTTTTTTGACCATTTTTGTTTTTTTGCCTTTAAAGTTAATGAAATTAAATTAAATTATCCTAATTCGGTTTGGTAAACCTGATTTATATATAATTATATATATAATTTAAAAAAATGTTAAAGACGCTTCTCTTTCATCGGTATCTTTTGTTCATTATAATAAGTTTTAAAAAGTTATAAATAGATTTTTTTAAAATTTTCATCTCTACGTTGCATTGAAAACTAACTTCTTCACTACTAAGTAACACGGAGTTTGAATAAATTGACTAACTTCATTAGGAATGCAAGATTCTTGCGCCACTAAATGTTGTGAACACGTACATACGTTGTGCGCGTTCGTAAATTTTGATTCGAAGTTAAGATTAGAACAAATATCATAAGCAAGATTATCTCATTGGCGTTTTTTTTATTAGTTCTCAATATAAATAGGCTTAGACATCTATCGTGTCTTTTAACCTTTTTATTATAATCCGCATTAGACCAAACAATTCCCATCAAAACAATTAAAAGATTAATTATAAGATAGGCAACCTCTTTTTTTATAAAAGTCGATAAATTGTATATAAGTCATTATTGAACACTGTTTATTTATTTTCATTATTATTCCGCTGTACAAACGTTGTTGTATTTAAAACCGTATTATACTAATTAGGAAGTTCCCAACCACATATCTACATCACATGATTTCTCATAGACCAATATGCTTTAAGCTTTGAATGAAGATTTCTTGATAACTACCTGACCAAATTTGATGAATTTTTTTATTTTATTTTAATTCTACAAGTCTGTAGAGTTAAAATAAACCAAAAATTTTATCGAATTTAATCAATAAAACCGCTGCTTCGACGCTCATAAAAAATTTTCGAAACTTAATCAAAGTTTCTTGATAACTATTGAGCAAATCACGATGAAAATTTTTTTACAAATTTGTAAAATAAAAACAAAAAAATTTCATCGTGTTTGGCTTAATAGTTATTAAGAAATAATTATGCTCCTTAAAAAAATAATAATAATAATATGACAGGGTGAAACCTGAGTTGCGAAATAGTGAAATCCGCTTTGTAGATCGGGTTAGGGTGAAATTCGCGTTTTA